TCTTCCCATCTCCATCCTGTTGTTCTACCTCCAAAATACAGATCAAATCTATTTTTTTCTCCATCCCGACCATCACTGCTTTACTTCAACCTCTTATTACTTAACTCTATATGCTGCCTTCAATTCATTTCTGCCTCAGTTTGTTAGTTTCTGCTTTTGCATAAAACAAATCTGTCGAGCCAGCAACACCTGTTACTACCTCCAAGAGAGCTCCAAGAGAGGAGTCCAACTGTGTGGAGGATAGCAGAGCATAAGGACACCTACTACCAGGAGCAGCAGTCCCAGGATGTCAGCCTACTGCATGGTTGGTAGGTGTTGAGGTTGCCAAGACAGACACGACTCACCCAGGCACTGGATGGAACAACGCTTAACGCACACAGAGAAGAGACACAGCAAGATCAGCTTCAATAGTGAGTGTGGGTCCCCCACTGCCAGCAGGTCTCACCCTGCAGCCAATGCAGAGAGATGTCTGCACTCATTCCTCTTGTGCTGCAGGCAAAAGACCCCCAGTTCCCTCCCCACTGGGAATGGATAGCAGTGGGGTTAGTCAGGTGCCATATGACACACATGCTTAAGCAAAACAAAGAACATATCAAGCCCAGAAAAGGGAAAGATACTCTCAAAGAGAAATGCCCAGCAAAGGCTGTGAGGGCTCTTTATCTCTTTGCAAAGAAATGTTCTAGGCCCAAGGCCACTCCTGTGGGCATGCAAAGGGCAAGAAACTGCACATGACTATCTTTCTCAACTTGATACATGTTCATTATTTAAAGAAGGGGAAAAGCCATATGCAAGAATGCAATAAATTATATCCCAAATTTCACCAACCAGAAATAACCAGTGATGCTAACATCCCTCTAGGCATCTTTTAATGCTTATACAGTTCTAGAGAATAAAAAATTCTTAATATTATCAAGCATACTATACATGCTGAGACTATAATACAAAAATATAACTCATGCTTCAAATATTATACATATTTTTAATAAATTTACTTTTACTTGAAATTTAACAGAAGAAAAAACTGAAGTCCAATTGAAGGAACTGTTAAAATTTCAAGTAGTCACATTGTTACTCGTCCTCTCACCTTCTTATACTTTATTTTTACTTCGTCAGAGTTCATATTCTATTCTGCAGCAATTACCCTGGTTATTTTAACTTTGTCCCCACTGATCTCCAATGTTGGCATGAAGTCTGGGGCCAGACTGATTTTTTTATCTGTCTTGGAGGTGTTTTTTTTGTTTTTTTTTTTTTTTTTACCTGATATTCTGATGATGTTTATTCTATATCAATTATTCCCTGGTACAGAGTATATACTCATGATGTGTACCAGAAAGGATTTTTTCTTCCTTTCTAAACAAATTGCCAAGTGTTGCTTTCTGATCACTAGTCTCAAGCTTGAGTACGCAGGTCAAGAACGCAAGAGCTCCCTTGGGGCTGAAGTCTTTGCTGGATGACTGTGAGGGTCAGTTTTGTGCGTCAATTCAGCGAAGTTACAGCCCCCAATTATTCAATCAAACACTAATGCAAGTGTTGTGTAAGGTATTTCGTGGATGGGATTAAAGCCTATAATCAGTTGACTGGAAATTAAGATTATCCTAGGTAATAAGTAAACCTCATCCAATCAATCTGAGTGGGCCTGATTCAATCAGTTGAAAAGTCCTTAAGAGCACAGCTGAGCCTTCCCAGAAGAAATTCTGGCTGCAGAGGGCAGCTTTAGCTCATGCTTGAGTTCCAGGCTGCCCTTTGGATAGCCTGCCCTACAGATTAGGGACTTAGGTGCTTAGGCAGCCCCCACAATTGTGTAAGTCAATTCTTTGCAATAAATCTCTTAATATGTATCTCCTACTGTTCTGTTTTTCTGGTTGAACCCTGATACAGTAACGTAGGTAATTATCTTCCAATAACCTGTTTAATGACCACCCAAGCACAGGAGACATACCACTCCTGTGGTATTTGGCTCCTTCCCCCAACTCCACAGTGCCTTGGACTTTGGCAAACTCAACTTACTTCTGCTGGGCTCCTCTGGACTTCCACTCCTTTTTCCCTGACTTGTCTTGGGGCTGCCTACTTTAGCCCCTCAGCCTATTTCTACAAATTGAGAATTCACAAGATTTGTTAACTAATCTTCCCTCATTACTGCTTCTGGGAGTGGGAGCAGGGCTCTGGGCTACCCCCACACCACCCATCCAGTCTTTCAGAATCTCTGTCTTCTTTGGTCACTATTCTGAGGTATAACATAAGGTTGTCTTTCCTTGTTTGGTTGCAATTTATAGACAGGACAGTTTAGGACAGGATTTGTTTGTAATTTTCTTCTTGATTGGGAGTAGAGGGTCTGGAACAATCTCACCCTGCCATCTTCACCCTAAAGTCTTACTTAGTATTTATCCATCTGCTTCCTCCACTCAATTGAGCTTAGTAGAGTATAGGGAGAGGCAGTACCTTCCTTACTTTATACCCTCAGGGTCTTAAGCACACCACCTGGCAAACAGCAACTCTCATTTGTTGGAGGAAATATACACTTTAATCTCTGAACAGAGGTGTTCATCCATCCATTAACCCCAGCTCTTCCCTATAAGTCAAATCAACCTTCCTGGAACTTTTACCCTGGAGTGATACTGAACTAGAATCTTACTATTACATAAATTTAACAAGCACCTCCAAAAAGACAAATACGGGTCCAATCTTCAAAGAACTGAGTTCTAGTGTACTGGGCTTACAGTTTAAAATTACACACCTTTTTGGAATGTAAAATGCTGTGTGCAAATAGTCCGGCTCCTCAAAAAGTTAAAAAGAATGACCATATAATCCAGCAATCCCACTTCTGGGTCTATACCCAAAAGAATTGAAAGCAGGGACTCAAATAGGTATTTGTATACCCATGTTCATAGCAGTATTATTTTTTTCATTATTATTATTTTTTTAATTGCAGTAACATTGGTTTATAAATTTCAGGTGTACATCATTATATTTTGATTTCTGTGTAGACTACACCATATTCACCACCCAAAGACTAATTACAATCTGTCATCATACACATGAGCCTCATCCCCACTTTCGCCCTCCTCTCTCCCCTCTTCCCCTCTGGTAACCAACAATCCAATCTCTGTCTCTATGTGTGTGTTTGTTGTTGTTTTTATCTTCTATTTATGAGTGAGATCATACAGTATTCGATTTTCTCCCTCTGACTTATTTCGCTTAGCACAGTACCCTCAAGGTCCATCCATGTTGTCACAAATAGTTGCACAACGTGAATATATTTAATACCACGGAATTGTACACTTAAAAAGTTAAAACGGCAAATGCAATGTTATACATATTTTACCACGACAAACATATTTAAAAAAATTTATACATCTTTTCCTGCTACTAGAAAGGCATTATGATATCAAACCAAGGAATCACATTCAGCTTGCTCTACCTAATGGTTCTAGTCAGACTTGAGGGTAAAGAAGGTACACCTAAGACAAACATTCGCAGGCAGGTCTTCACTAAACACACATCAAAAGCTTATCCAGTAAAGCACCAGATCAGAAATCACTCGGTTTTTGTTTTTGATGCTATAGCACCTAAAGCTTAATATTACGCGGAAATGCTCTTAACGGATAACAAATATCACAACAGCATCACCTCCCCCTTATCATGTTATTCTAGTACCATTTATTCGACTATGAGCCCCTTAAGGGCGGCTACCGCATTTTAATAACCTACATATCACTTTTGTACCAAGCAGCCATAATAGTGATAGCAATCGTGGATCTGTCAATGCTTTAGAACTCACAAGTTTAAACACTAAACGTAAAACAGTTACAAAATGGGCAAACCCCCTTCTATCTAACAGCTAAAACCTTTAATTTTCTGGGAGCTGCCCCAAAGGCCCCAAGTGGAGTAGAGAAATGGAAAACAAGGATATTTCTTCCGTAGCAAAGGGCATCTGTTAGTGCTAACGGCCGGCCCCGCCGCCGCGGCCTCACCAAGTGTAGATCTGCAGCTCGCTGGACGGGACATTTCCGCGGGAGAACTCGTCCATGCGGTGGTGGCGCCCGTTATTGGTGGTGAAGACACGCAGGAGCAGCGGGCATGTCTGGGACAGAGAGAAGAAAAGCCAAGGACAGAAGTTAAAGAAAGCCAGTCCGGAGCTCGTTCCCTTCCGGAGGCGTCGCGGCCTCCGAGCCGCCCTGGGAGCAAAAACACCGCCGCTTGCCGCGCTCTCCGCCCCGTCGGACCCACAACCATCTCTTTCCGGACCCCACACCTTCTCCCGATCGATCGGCTTCTCCGGTTCCTTTTTAATTTCCTCCTGGGTAACGCGCGACTCCACCGCCATCTTCCTCCTACGACCCGCGAGACGCTCGCTCTGACCTCCGACCCCCGTAGCGAGCATGAGAACGAAGCCTCTCGCGAGGAGAAACTCGAGGCTTTATAGAGGACCACGGGTGGGGGTGGGGGGTGGGGGGCGGGGCGTTTCCTGGCGCAGGCGCACTTCATTGTGTGGCGCGTGAGCCCGGGTCCGGCCGCGCCTGCGTGTTGCGTCCTCAGGGGGAAGGCGGGCGCTGGCGTCCGCAGGGCGGAGCCTGTGAGGGAGGCGCTTGCTGTCCGTCGCTGGTCCTTGGTTGCTACGGTGTGTGTTCCCTGAAATGTTTGCAGGGCAAATAACACTTACCGTGGCGTTTTCACACGAAATGATGAAAACCTTAGTGAACGCAAAACAGTACGGGAGGTGAGTGAATAAGCAAAAACGTTCCTTTATTAACAAAATATCCGCCCCTTCTTTTTGATAAGGGAGTAAGAAGTTGTGACAGACCTGTGTGGACGCCTGAGTTAAGACAGAAGAGGCGCTGCAAAGTTGAGGGGAGGGGAGGATACCTTTCAGTAAATGGTTGTAGAGCGATTAGGCATCTGATTGGGGGGAAAGAAGAGTTGGACTCTCCACACCACACGCAATTTCAGGTGGGTCAGAACCTGAGTGGAGCAGCAAAACTAGAACTTTCCGGGAATAACACAGTAAACTATCTTCATGATTAGTGGATAGGGGTACATAATACAAAAAGCGCTAACCAGAAAGGATTGATACATTTGACTATGTTAAAGTTGAAAAAAAAACTGACCTTCAAAATACATCATAAAGAGAGAAAAATATAATCCACAGAATGGGAGAAGATATCTGTGATGCATATGATTGACAAAAGCTAGGGTCCAGGGTATATCAGAACTCCTAAAGAAAAAGGCAGACATCCCAATGGAAAAATGGGTGAAAGAGTTGAACAGGTGCTTTTACAATGAAGAAATCCAAATAGCCAATAAGCATATATGGCTCATTACTAATCAGGGGATGCATTCAAACCACAGTGATTGGCTTTAACTGATTGGCTTTAAACTACACCCACTAGATTGGCGAAAATTAGAAACTCTGACATCAACAATTGTTAGTAGACTAACGGGAAGTCTCTAATACTGGTGGTGAGAGTGTCAATTGGTATTCCCACTTTGGAAAGTAGTTTAGGATTATTTAGTAAAGTTGAAGATATGTATACTTTAGATTTAACAATTCCACTCCTCTAGTGAAAATCTTGCTCAAGTATATCCAGAGACGTTACAAGAGTGTTCTTAGCAGTATTGTTTATAAGAACAGAAATCTGGAAACAACCCAAGTGTCCATCAATGGTACCATAGTTCAGTGAATTGTGGTATACTATATGGCAACAAATCTATCAAACAGCTGTGGAATACCATACAGCAACAAAAATGAACAAACTACAGATACATGAAACTACAACCACGTGAAAACATGAATTTCACAAACATAATGATGACTGTAAGAAACCAAAGACAAAAAAATATATACTGTGTGCATCCATTTTTATAACATTCAAAAGCAGGCAATACTAAACCATATTGTTCAGGATACATTCCCAGGTGATAAAACTATAAAAAGAAGAGCGATGAAGTAATTACCACAAAATTCAGAATGGTAATTACCTATGAGAAAAGAAGGGGATTAGGGAAGGGCAAAGGAGGTGCTTCAGGAGGGTTGGCAACATTCTATTTTTTGACCTAGTTGGTGGTTACACAGTGGTTTGATTTTAAATTATTCTTTTAACAATAAATTTTATGTTTTACATACCCTTCTGTATGAATACTATATCTTGCTATATTAAAAAATAGTAACTGAAAGAAAAAAAGAATGCCTATGAATCACTACCAGCCCTGGTGGTCTAGTGGTTAAGATTCCACGCTCTCACCACCACAGCCCGGGTTTGTTTTGCAGTCAGGGAGCCACACCACCCATCTGTTGGTTGTCAGACTGTGGCAGCTGTGTGTTGCTGAAAGCTATGCCAACGGTGTTTCAAATATCAGCAAGGTCACCCATGGTGGACAGGTGTCAGCTTCCAGACTAAGACAGACCCGGAAGAAGGACCTGGCCACCCACTTCTGAAAAAATTGGACATGAAAACCCTGTGAATAGCAGCAGAGCATTGTCTGATAGAGCACTGAGGGGTGAGAGGATGGAGCAAAAAGACCAGGAAGGGTTCTTGCTCTGCTGGACACAGGGTCACTAGGAGTCAAAATAGACATGACAGCACTGACAACAATAAATGAATCAATAAGAAAAAGATAAAGAATCCAGTAGAAAATGGACAAAAGGCATGATAGGCATTTCACAGAAGAGAAAACACAAATTAAATGTAAACAGAAAGGATACCCAACCTCATGAATAATCCTAGAAATGCACATTTAAACCATGTTAGATAACATTTCACTCTACAGTACTAGATTGGCCAAAATGCAAAAATCTGACAACCAGGGGCTACCCTGGTGGCATAGTGGTTAAGTTTGCATGCTCCACTTCGGCAGTCTGGGGTTCGAAGGTTTGGATCCTGGGCACGGACCTGTGCATTGCTTATCAAGTCATGCTGTGGCAGGTGTCCCAGGTATAAAGTAGAGGAAAACGGGCACAGATGTTAGCTCAGGGCCAATTCCTCAGCAAAAAGAGGAAGATTGGCAACAGATGTTAGCTCGGGGCTAATCTTCCACACCCCCCCCCCCAAAAAAAATCTGACAACCAAGTGCTGGCAAGGATATGGAGAAAAGGGAATTCTTACCAACTACTCTCATCCACTTTGGAAAAATTGGCATTATGTAGAAAAACTGGATATATGTGCACACCTTAAGACCCAGCTATTCCACTCCTATTTGTATTCCCCTGAGAAACTGTTACACCTGAGCACCAGGCAACAGGTTGAATAATGTTCTAGCATCTTTATTCTTAATAACTAGAAACAATCTGAATGTCCACCAAGAGTATATTCATAAAATAAAATACCATAAAGACTTGGACATAAAGACCAAAATATGCTTTTTTTGAAAGCTGGAATTAAAAAAGCAAGTCATAGAAGAATGCATACGATAGGATTCAATTTATGCAAAGTTCAAAAATAAGAACCTCCCCCCCCAAAAATACTGTTTAGAGAAACAAACACAAGTAGTAAAACTATAAAGAGAAGAAGAGAATGATTAACACTAAATTCATGATAGTGTTACCCCTGAGAGTAACCTGGGGTGGTGCAATTTATGAAGAGCATCCAGGGAGCTTCTAAGGTACTAGTAATGTACTCTTTCTCACTAGGAGGGGTGTGGGTTTTCATTCTTTACAGGCATACCTCAGAGATGTTACAAGTTTGGTTCCAGACCACCACAATAAAGCAAATATTGCAATAACACGAGTTTTTTGGTTTCCCAGTGCATATAAAAGTTGTGTTGTAAATTCTGTGGTCTATTAAGTGTGCAATAGCATTATGTCTAAAAAAAACAATGAACATGTCTTAAATTTAAAAATATATTATTGCTGAGAGTGAGGTCTGCATCATGGTGGAGTGAGCTTCCCCCATTGAACTCTCCCCCTCTAAGATACAACAAAAAGGACATTCATACTCCAACAGAAGCTATTCACACAACACAGGGGACATCTGAGGTGTCCAGGCAGCCATATACCCAAGGACTGAGGTACTGGAATCTCCAGAGTAAGTGTAAGGAGGTAAGAGGAGCTCCCTTCCTTCCCCAAGGACTGCGACCCAGAGACTGAGACCATGCGGCTCTCAGAGGAGAGGGAGGGGCAGCTCGCCATGTGAAAAATGGTGCTCTCTAAGACACCTCACAGCCCTAGTGGATCCCCCTATGGAGGGAGCAGAACTGTTGCAAGGGTAATTTCAACAAGCTAACCCCTCAGGAGAGCAGAGAGAGGCAGCAAGGGGAGAAACCTCTGAGATCAGGGAGGCAAAAGTAAGTGCCCCTCCCCCACCTGGCTCACCCAACTGGTGCTTCAGCACAGTGGCACGTCAGCTCAGCCCCGTCCCCAGAGGCAGCGGTGCCCAGGCCTGACCAGCAGGGGCAGTGTGACTGCTCCCCACCCCTACAGGCAGTGGCCCCCAGGTGCCTGGGCCCGACCAGCGGCGGGGCAAGGCTGTGCCTCCGCACCAGAGGCAGCGGCAGCTTAGTCCCCACCATGCCACAGCCCCAGCTGCTCCAGCTGGACCAAGCCACAGCCCCAGCTTCCCTGGCTCCACTGTGCCACGGCCCAAGCTCTTTCAGCTGGACTATGCCCCACCCCCAGCTCCTTTGGCTTGACTGTCCCCCCTCCCCCCAGCTCTAGCTGCTTTGGCTTGGCCTGTGCTCAGGCTCCAGCTGACTTGGCGCCAGCAACTGCGGCCCACAGCACTCCAGTTCCAGCTTCTTTGGCCCAGTGGCACTCCAGCTCTTCCTTCTTCAGTTCAGCACACTCCAGTTCCAGCTTCTTTGGCCCACAGCACTCCAGTTCCAGCTTCTTTGGCCCAGCAGTGCCCCAACTCATCCTTTGGCCCAGTGCACTCCAGTTCCGGCTTCTTTGGCCCAGTGCACTCTAGTTCCAGCTTCTTCAGCCCAGCAGCACTCCAGCTCCTCCTTCTTCAGCCCAGTGCACTCTAGTTCCAGCTTCTTTGGCCGACTGGTACTCCAGCTCTTTCTTCTTTGGCCCAGTGCACTCCAGTTCCAGCTTCTTTGGCCCAGCAGCACTTCAGCTGCAGCTGCTTCAACCCACCTGCACCTGAGCCCCAGCTACTTCAGCCTACCTGTGCTCCAGCTCCAGCTGTTTCCACACTTCCCCTCTAGCAGCCTCCACTCAGCCACACTGCAGATCAGCCAGGGGCCGACAAGAGTGCTCATGGATTGAGGTGGGCTATATACACAGCCCTTGACCCTCACCCAGTGGCAGCAAGAGGAAACTGCGACCATATATTTTCACTATGAGGAAAGGTAAGCCAACACCGACAGGCACCATGCAAAAATATGTTAAATCTCCAGAGCAAAAGGAAAATGACAAGCACCCAGAAGTCAACCCAGAAAGCACAGAAATGTATAACCTTAATGACAGAGAATTCAAAATAGCCATCAT